ATCCTTGGTTTCCTTTGGACTGCCTCTAGTCCACCCCAGGCTCAGCGAGTCCAGCTTCAGAAATGACCACCTAGATGACGTCGACTCCTGGGGGCTGCTTGCTGCCTGTAGATGTTGATGCCTCTGGATGTTTCATCAGGCTTTGAGGTCCTCAAGCCTCTGCTCCCCTCCCACCCCCCGCCCCGCTTCCTTTTCAACTTTAGTCTCCCTGTGTCTTTCTGGGCATGCCAGGTCCCAAGTGAGCATGGCCAGGCTAGGAATCCCCCAGAGGGGGTGGTGCCTGGTGTCGGCCAGCACACTGGACCCCTGGTAGTGTGGACTGGACTGCTGTTGGGGGATGTGCACACACTGCCAGTTCTGCCATAGCTTCCTGGGTGCTCCACTTTGTCACATGGCATCTGCCTGTCCATAGCGCCAGGGGGGCAGGTCTCAATTGGGGGGCAGGTCTCAATTGGGGGGCCTGGCTGGATGCTTTCTGGTCATCACTCTCTCTTGACTCTACTAAGGCAATACTGGGGGAGGAAGACAAGGTTAGATCAGTCAGCTGCATGCTAGCTGTTAGAAAAGAAAATGGTTCTTCTGCATGATCCAGTGCATGTCTGGCCTAGCAGCTTTGGGAGAGCGGGTCCCGTGCAGGGGCTATAGTCCTGTCCTAGCCCTGGGCTGTATTAGCAGAGTCTGGACCTCAGAGAGGTCACCTACCCTGCTGTGTGGAAGCCCTGCCGCTGGTGGTAGCAGTGAGTTGTGGTCACCAGGGTTGACGCTGGCAGGCTGGCGTCCCAGCCTCAGGATGTAGAGGAGATGGGCAGGTTACCTCTAGGACTCTCCCATGGACAGTGCAGGGAGCTGTCACTGCTCCCTTTCCCAGCTGTTCCCAAGAGCAGAGGCTGAATGACAGGCAGGGAGGGACTGTAACATGCCAACTGCAGCTAATGAAAATTGCATGTGAAGTCTGTGGCAGTAGGTTGCCAGAGTGATGACCGGTCCCACCTCCTCCCTGCAGTGCATCGATGTGGCAGTGGCCGCTCCACTTTGATCTGTCCCGAGGTAGTGCTGGTGCAGACGGGTCTGAGTGCTCAGAGGCAGGGGACTGCAGTTCTTTGGGCCTGTTCCCAGAAACTGTTGATGGTCAAGGCTCACGACTATGATTCTGAAGCTCGGGGCGCTTGGGGCAGCATTAGGGGGAAGTGCCCTGCCTGCCTGCCTGGAGCCAGCTGCACGGCAGGTGGTTGGGCTGCTCCTGCTCTCACAATGCCCTCTGGGAGCTGGATGGCTGCACCCCCCAGCCCACAAGTGGGAAAGCTGAGGCTCGACATGCCCCTCCGAGTGACAGCACTGGTCAGGAGAACCTGTCGGGTGGCATCTGGTCTGCGCTCTTGGAATCTCCTGCTGATGCCATGTCCACTTCCCACAGGGTGGTCAACCCCTTGTCCTCTCTCCAAGGACTTCTGCTGAGGAGGGGTTGGTACTGGCAAGATCATGGTCTCCAGAGTCAGGAAAAACTGAATTTTAATTCAAGCGCTAGTTCTGCTGCTCTGTAGCTATATGAATCACTGTGTAGTGATTTCCTCGCTCTAGACTTTGGGTTCCCCAGCTCTGTCGGGGGGTGCACTGGCACCTACTCAGAGGTGAGTGGAAGTGCTAAAGAGAACAGTACAGGGGTTTGCACCGCACCTGCCACGTTTGACCACTCAAAACATGGCAGCTGCTGTTATTACAGTATAACTGTTGCTAATGTTCTATGACTTTGGTGTTTGGATTCGATTTCAACTTTCTGATTTGAACTCCAGCTGGACAGCAGGCCCTGAATCTGACATCCGATTTCAACCCAGGCAAGTCACGAAGGTTTGCTTGTTCCCTAGGGTGACAGGGGCAGGAGATGTGGGCAGAAGTCCACCTGTCCTCCTCCCGCGCAGCTTGGTAGGACCCTCTCAGACCTCTTGAATTCATTCCTGCTGGTCCCAGGCTCAGTGCTGCCGTGGTTCCAGTCGCCTCTAAGGGATTTGCCTGTTTATCTTGCTCAGAGACCCACACTCACACAGCCTGCAGGTTTGAGCCTGGGGAAGAGACTGGTGTGTAAAAGACACAGAGGCTGAGTTGTCCTCTCTGTTCACTCAGTAGAATCCTGCTGGTCGCCTCTCAGGCACTGGGCTGAACCCTGAAGTGCCTGAGGAAGGTGCTGGTCCCCTGCCTGGTGACTGGGTTCTGTATGGTTGGTGGCAGGAGAGTGTCCTGCTGCTGCCGCCCAGGCAGGTCTGTGCTCTGCTGGGGACACAGGGCTGCAGACGGCAAAGCAGAGACACCTGGAGTGTGGTGTCTGTGGGACACCATATGGGGTATGAGACTGTGGGAATGGAGAGGCTGCCCATGGGGGGCCAAGTCCGAGCTGGGTTTGATAGGGACAGTAAGTATTAACGAGAGGAGGATGGGGAGGGTGCTCCAGGTAGAGGAGGAGTGGTATGTGCAGAGCTTCGCAGTGTAGAAAGAGCAAGGGCTGTTGCAGACCAAGGTGAAGTCTGCTGATGGCTAGAATGAAACTCACGAGTCTAGAGAGACCGGAAGCTCAGCAGGGCAGCACCCTGCTAGGGCCTGTGAGCCGTCAGTGAGTGTCGCTCGCTCTACCCGAGGAATGACTGGCAACTTTAAGCAGGTGCTGCAGAAGTTCTCTGTGGGAGCAGGGTGGAGGAGAACCCGGCCCAGCTTGCTGAGTGCACGTGGTGTGACCTAGGGGAGGCTGTGGAAGCCTGAGCCAGGGGGAGAGGATGCATGGATGCAGAAAATGGGAGACATGAGTGCTTCAGGCAGGTGCCTGATCATTGCCGGAACGGTAAAGGGAGAGGAGGAGGAGTCCAGTCAGAACCCGAGTTCTTGCCTGAGCAGCTGGTAGACAGAGGTCCTGTGCACACAGCTGGCGATGTCTTGGTGCTGGCTGAGAATGGACTAAAGACTCTGGAACTGGGGGAGAAGGCCTCCGAGGGGCCCTATCTGGCTTGTTGTCTGGGCCTGACCATCTCTTGGTTACTGTGTTGAGTGTGTGGCTTCCTTTAGCCCATGGAGCTGTATGTTAGAGTCATCTGGAGAACTGTAACAAATCCATGTGGTGATCACACCCCAGGGTACAACTTGCCTGGTGGTCAGTCAAGCAGGAAGTCCCTGTGGTGGGCCCCTTGTAGGCAGCAGCATAGACGGATGGAAGGTGTCATCTGGATGTACAGAGGTCCCCAGCCCATGGTAGAGGTGGGTAAGGTGGGAGAGGATAGCGCCAGTTGGCTTTGAGAAAGCCGGGCCTCAGATCAATAGGATCATACTTTCTGTGAATTACAGGCTTACGTTACAAGATGGCAAGGGCCTTGCTTGCTGCTCAGTGAGATGAACCTTTCCAGGGTTCATCTGTTTTCTGCCAGTAAATTGATGCTTAAGCAGGACTTTTGCCTATTCGGAACAGACTCAGTCCCCTTAGCAGAGCATAGTCACCCAGCACTGGAGATTGAATGGACTCCCATGACCCATGACACCTAGCCAGGGCTCGGAACGCCTTGCTGGCGTGCACAGCAGCTCTGTGGGCAGAGTGCTGGCCTCTTCACAGACAGCATTGCTCAGTCACAGAATGGGAGCTGCAAGCAGAGAAAGGCCTCCCTGCCGGCCACTCATGGAATTTGCCCCCAAGCCACTTTTCACACATGAGACACACAAAACGACATGCATTTAAAAATATTTCATAATTGTTTTTCTCGGGTGCAGCCGGCCTCCCTTCACTTGGGTTTAATTGGTAAGATTGAAATGCATAAATTTCACCTTGCTGAAAGTTTAAACATTTCTGTAAAGCCTGTTTTTCAGTGTTTCTGGGACACCCAGAAACCTCTGGCGTCGAACATAAAAGCGTCCACCTTTTATTTTTTGAGTAAATCCATGTGCCTGGTAGTCGTGAAATAAATTTTTGCTCAGGAGGTCAAAGGTTGAGTGGTTTTGAGTTTGAAGAGCTAGCCCTGGCCTGGGCTGGAGTTGGGTTGCGGTTCCATATGTCCATTCCTATGGGGGGGGGGGGAAACACAGGTGAACAGTGTTCTGGACAGGAACTGTCAGACTCAGTCTTTCTCTTTGAGAAAAGAACAGGTCAGTGAGTCACTTCCCTTCATCTGCACTTGGATGGACAAAGTCCTAAACAAAGGGGGGCGCATGGGCAGTTATGATCCTATAATCAACTTGGTGGGCCACGACTATCCAGTTTTGGGTTTCCTCAAGCTATTTTGCAGCTGTGAATTAAAAGGATTTCTATGCCAAAATGTAAAAGTGCTATCACTCTTGGTTTCTGATGTCATCTGGAGATTTTTTTTTTTAAAGATTTTTAAATTTACTTATGTATACAGAACTGGGGTACAGGCCAGAGTTGCAGGGCTGGTGAGAGGATTCACTAGAGACAGTGGGGAGCAGAACAGGCAGATGGACTGAAATACACTGTTGAGGGGAGCAGCGGGCGGGTGAGGAGAGGTCTGACCGCCATGTGGGTCACCTCCTGGGTGGGGATGGAACTCACGCGGAAGTGGCTCAAGCTTCTTAGTGCTGTGCTTTAACCCGCTGCGCCACCAGGGAGGGCCCCCATCTGGAGATTTTTATTGAATTGCAACCTTTGACCAATGTCACAGGAAATGATTCATTTGAATTTCTCAAAGACAGTACTCATAACGGGCTGTTTGGATCTCATTGTGATTTTATTAGCCGTTCTGCAGTCATGGCGCAATTACTAGAACACATAGAAATTTCTCCCCCCATACCCAGGTATTTCACCTGAAAGCCTAATGTTCTTTCCTATGAACCTAGTGAACAATGCAACCTTTTTGAGGGATTGATGGTGGGTGACACAAGGGCACATACCTGCTTATACCTATGTAATGTTGTGATAATCTGAAATTTTAATGCAATTATCAAAAATGTTTACATTCCTGCCTGTTGTTTGATGTGCTTCTTTTATTTTTTCTCATTTATAATGCTTTCGTGCTCAGGAAGTTGAGGTAGGTTTTTAACTTTTCAACTGTATGTAGACATAGAATGGAAGTAGTTGCCAAATAAAATGTAAATTTCATTCTGCATCCTAAATCTCAGTGGTAAATATTTGTTTTAGTTCAGTGAACCAGCACTGCACACATTTATTTTTCATCGGTATATCCAGGGGATGCAATTTATCAAATGCATATAAACAGTCCATTTGCTGCTTTATCTTTTCTCATTAGTTACAGTACAAGTATGATTGTCAGTTATTATCTGTGTTTTACTGGTGGGTTATTTATTGAAAGAGCAGAGCAACTGACATTGTTATTTTCTAAATCATTTTGTCTAAGGCCTGCAGGACTTTATACCAAATGTCAGACCAATTTATCAAAGAATTGCTCTATCCAGGAAGAAAGTGATTTAAAGTCTGTGTATAAACATACAGCCACCTGTCCTCACACACCCTCATTGCAATTACGGGAGCTTCAGGGGGATATGGAGAGGTGATGGCTGGCAGAGCTTTCTTAGGTTTGGCACAGCCCAGGATCACTGTGTCCCGCTGAGTGGTGCCCCGGGCAAAGTACACGTAGGCCTGTCCTGCGGCCCACCTGTGGGGTGTCACATGTCACTTGGAAATGAGTTCATGCACACAGCTCCCAGTCCCTGTTCCTGGGGGTTTACCAATGGGATCTGTAGAGGGAAGAGAAGGCAGCAGCATTTCAATTCACCCCAAGCTGGGTCAGTTGGTTAAGCTGATCCATTCAGAAGGATTCTCACTTAGGGCCCTGGGCTAGGGATGGGCAGGTCAGGGAGTGTGAATTACATGCCCAGAGCTAAGACTGGAAATACCTAGGCTGAGGTGGTAGTGTGGGAAGCAAGCACCTTTCCCAATAAATGGAATGTTTCGTCCCTCCCTTCATTAGTAGGGGTTTCCATTGCACACCGATAAAAATGATCACCGAGTGCCGTATTATGAAAGAGGCACACGGACACTTTTCCAGTGACTTGTGTTTTCATTTTAGAAAAGCTCTTCCCACCGCCACCCCCAACGCTTCTTCCTATTCTCTCCAGCTAGGTAGTGTGAAAATTAATTGAACTGCTAATTTGCACTGAACCCTCGTGAGGGGGTTTGCGTGCTCTCCCTGACCTCTTTCTGGGGTTCAGCTGCACGTGGCTAGTCCTGTTCATTCCCACTGCACCCATGTTCAGCACCTGACTCAGAGCAGTGCTTCCCCTTCTGTGTTTACTGCAGGGGGCTGCACAGCATCAAGCATGCTGCCCACCCTCACTTCATCTTCCTCCCTTCTGCCCTGGTCTCAGTTGCTCACTGCTGGCCGAGACGAATGAGGCTACCGCTTATTTTCTAGGCTGGTAATATGTATTATCTCAGGTAATCTTCAGATGAGACTGCAGGGTTCAAACAACTTAGCTAAAATATGCATGAAGGAGAAATGATCTGTTGCACGTGAGCTAAATGTCTTCGATCTGCAGTATCTGTAGCTGTAAGGTCTATGATAAATTACATCACCTTCATAAGTGGGAACGAAGCAGTTGGATTTCAAAAGTGGTTTCCATTTGATTCTGTCACCTGGTCTTTTCCTCAGAGTCCACTTTAGAGCTGAAATAGCACCTTGAAAAGGCGAGTCTCTGGGGAGGATTTGCACTGAATTGCGCCAGCTGTTCTGGGGCAGTGAGTGGTGGCAGAACAGGGCAGGAACCTTGGTCATCCATGATGATCTTGGGTCTAGTTACCCAAGTCACACCCTTCTGAGTGTGGGAGACTTGAAGGCTTTCTTGGAAGATGCATCATAGAGCAGAGTAGTGTTTGACATATACAAGCATGTGTAATTAAATAGTATATTTATTTATGCATTTGATTACCCTTGGTATCTAGAAAATCTATAACATGTATCTTGTTATATATGTGTATGTACTATATGTAACATATAACATTAGCTATAGCATACTGTAGCTTTGCTAATAACTATTAGATGTGATGATATATGCATTATGTCTGCCTATATTTTAAAGAGATCTCTCTTCCCATGGATGTCTATCAAACCGGAATATCTCCAAAGTAGTTAAAAACTCCAAAATCATACAATTCTTTTGCACCGGCCCTGGCTGTGAACACTCATAGGACCCATTCTTATGCTGGGGGAGACATTGAATTAGTGAGATAAATGGAGGAGTATGGTTTTATCTGTATTGATCAGCCAGGGGAGGATAAAAACAGTAATTGGGGCCATGCTCTTCCCCAGTTTTTGACTCTTCTGCCACCAGCGTCACCTCCTTCCTCAGCATCCTACACTGTAATGATGTGTCGTTTCCTCACTGCGCTGTATATGCCGACGTGGATGCTCTCCAGCACTGACTCCATCTTGCCCTCCTGGGTTTCATATTTCAGATGGAAGTCAGGGTACGCAAGTTTGAGATTCTTATAGGTAAAGGTTGCTTCAGGTCTGCAAAGTCCCTAAAATTGAACTGATTTTCATTTAGGTGGTAGTGTGGTGAAATGGAAGCAGACTTTTTTCTCCTATGGGTTGTTTGGAATTGAGGGAGTCTGTTCTCCGCCTGGCCCGGTGGAGGTAAGAGATCATTGCAGCAGGCAGTGTCGGTAGCCAGGAAGGCCCCAGGCAGAGTCCTCCAGCTCCAGCCTCAGCCTGTGATGCACCATTGTGACTCAGTTTAATAAGTTACTGTATTTAGATGTGTAGCTTTCTACTTAGGTGTATGTTTCAAAAATGAATTGTGTTTCAGATCCTTGCAAATCATTTTTAAAAACTTCATCACTGGATGTTAAAACTAGCAGTAGAGAGTGCCACCCTGACAGACAACTGTCCAGGCAGTCGTGATGGGCACATCCGCAGGCCTCCCCACAGGCCGCATCTGATAGGCCACAGTTTTACTGCACCACAGAGAGGAGCAGAGATGAGGCTTCTTGAAGTTCTGCTTTTTTCTGGAGTCTGGACAGGACTTGGTGCTCCCTGAAGCAGGGACACACTGAAATGATGCAACTGTGGTGTTGGGGTGTAGCACATGACCTGCATAGTACTGTAACTGGTAGAAGTGGATAGAAGTATCAGCAGCACAGGAAGTCATGGGTCTGTTTTACGGTAAAGTAAAATAGATGCTACATATATTTTACTAGGTGGAAAATAAGGGAGAGGGAAAGCTGGGCTGGGGCCCTGGGCCTGGTCCGGGAGCAGAGCCAGCAGTGATCATGTCCTTGGTTGTGAAGTAGGACTCATGGATGAGCACGTTCCCTGGAGGTCAAGTGCTGGAACAGGCGTTCTTTTATTGCTGGCATCTTCGCATGGGGATGGCTGCCACCTCACTAGATAAACCAGCAGAGGCTGAGAGAGCTGGTCACTACAGCCTGGCCTGCTTGGACTGTCCACAAGCTCAGGCCAATCAGGACCTGGCAGTGCAGTGTGGACAGAGGATCTCTGTGCTCCAGCCCCCTCAGTCAGAATTCGGTCGCAGTGACTGTGTTGAGTGTGAGACCAGATATGGGCAGTAACACAGTGGCTACCTGTGTGCCCATATACGGGCAATAGTACAATGACTGGGCATCACATCCAGGTGTGCAGTGCCGCGTCGGCTTTCTATACTCGGAACCTAAAGCCTATATTAGAGACACTGTCTCCTACAGCATTCGCAGTAGCTGCGGACCCCACCCTCGGGAGCTCCGTCTCAGCTACTGCCCGGGAGCAAGAAAATCTACTTGCTCAGCCTTTCTGTCTCCCATCTTTCTTCCTTGCAGCCAGTCACAGAAATCGGGAGAAAACACTAAGAAGCCCCCCTCCTTGTGCTCAGTGCCCACTCTCCAAGGGGCCTCTGGTGCCTGGAGTGCTCACCATGTCTTCATCGCACTTAATATGAGGTTTCCCTTTCCGCTGTGCCCAGAACACGTACACCCATGATTTTATCTTCTCCTGGCTCATTGGTTTTTGGCTTTGGCGTGCCCCGTTCCTAAGGCAGGGCAAGAGCAATCAGTTGCAGAGAATCATCTACCTTTCCTGCTTGGCCCTGCTGGGCAAGGGGCCCTTTAAAGGACTTACTTGGTGTAATGAGTTTTCACTCAAGGGGCGCTTTCTCATTTTGGCAGCAATTAAGCAGTATTATTACATATGTAATGGCTTCACATATTCGAATGTAGATAGCTGCCTTTAGAAGCTTTATGTTTCAAACTAGGATTTTCCTTAAAAAATATGTAAAAATGGCAATTACAGTTAATTTGAAAAAGTGACAAGGTCCAGAAGAATGCTTCAGGCTCCATCCAAGTTCTCAGTATGTTGAAACTGTCAGAGAATACTCAGTTCTCGAGACCGGCTCAAGCCTTCTTTGGCTATCAAAGAGAATGTGACATGTGAAATTAAAGTAAAGGAACTCATCTTTGGCTTCAGTCTTTCCCTGGTGGATTCACAGCCTAAGTTTCCAAGGACTTCCAAATATCAGAAAACATACTCAAGCAGAAAGTAACCGACAGGACTGCAGCATTGCCTCGCTACAGCATGCCCGCCCTCTGAGGGGGGAGGCATTGACCCCGGCCCAACTGCAGGGCAGGTGTCCGGCTCAGTTTTTCCTGCAGTGGTGAGAATCCGTTCATCCTGGCTTTTCTCTTCTCGTGCCCTTGTGAACAGCAGTGCATGCTGACAAGTTGGTTGTGTTAGGCCTATGAGTGCATTAGTTATCAAACTGAAAAATCAGGTGCTGAATTCCCCATCTGCTTGCAACCCTTAACATGAAATCAAATAATACTGGCGCTGAGTTTCAAGCCATGCAGTTCAAAAGATCCGGATTGCATTCGCAGTCAGAAATGGAGAGAGGCAGAGGGATGGTCTTAAATTTTCTCAGTGCAATTTTATGGTGTAGACCTCAGGACTCCCTAACCAGTGGGCGAGAAAGCCAGTTACCCCACACAATTAAAGGCAGGACAAAGCGGGCCAGTTCCATAGAGTTAAAAATAAGTACATGCAGACTCCCCGGGATCCAGAGGAGCCCTTTCATGTTTATTCATGCTCTGCAAAATGGAATCAGCAATATGTTCTGATTTTATTCTAAATCCAGTTTCCTAAAATCTGTGTAAGGGCTTAGGTGAACTCAGCAAGGATTGACCAAGCCAGGTAATTGAACAACACAGACCAGCAAAATTCACAGGACATGTTGTGATAGACAAAGTGCAGTAGGACAATAATTTCAACTAATTGTGCACTTTGATGTAAATTAGCTTCTCTGGAAAAGAGATGGAATGGGGGCCTCATCATGGACAGCTTACAGCATCAGGACTGCCGGCCAAAAAACGTTTTAAGGCAATTGGGGTCTTAAAAGGGGCCACAGACCCTACTGTTGTTGGGGGGACTGATGTATATGGGTGAAGACTCTTCACCATGCAAACTGTTGTCAGAGTGGGGGCAGTGCGGTGCCTGAGCACCTCAGAAGAAGAGACAGACGTTGTTGGGAAGGAAAGGGATGTCAGAGGTGGGGAGAGGCCAGTGTGTCTTTGGGTGGGTGAGGGACCCTGGAAATTTCAGTCACAGGCGAGGTGTCTGGCTGCAGCGCCAGTGGATGGAGCAGACTGGCAAACCTTTGCGCAATCTTTATGCACTCAGCTCGCCTGGTGTTACGTGAAAGGTGTGCCTGTGGTTAATTCTGGCAGTTAAATGGCCCTCTGTTTTTAGTTTTGGTGAGTGTTGGAAAGCTGGGGGTGTGTACTGCGCTTTCCAAGTTACACATCTCCATGTATAAGAAATGTTGACAGTTGAATTATCAGCTGTTACAAACACCAAGAAAGCCAGGCAGCACCTGCGGCATAACTGATAGCAAATACACCTTGCACTTAGTGGTGTCTGGGCTTATCTGTCAAACCGAGAAGAGCAGTCTGTTTCCATATGAGGTTGAAATGTTTTTACCATTCCCAGTGTTTAATCCATACTATTTAAATGACAAGCATCTGAAAAGACAATTGACATTTTTGATGGCTTGTTAATGACTGTTTGGGGGAAGATTTCTAAGCTGTTACTGTTTTCATGTTTGAGGGGTGTGGGGAGAATGGCAGGTTTTATGCAGTTATCTGGAAGGCTTCCCAAAAACTGATTTTTGTTTTGTTTCTTTTTCCTTTTATAGGATGATTACTTCAGAAACTGGAATCCCAACAAGCCCTTTGACCAAGGTAAAGGAGGCGCTATTTCTTGCTATTTGTTCCATGGGGAATGCTGTCTGATTTGTCCTTTGCATGCCGAGTTCCCACAAAATAATACAGCTAGCTGCATTATTTTATAGACTTTGGGGGCCAGATTGAATGGGATGATAGAATTTATTTGATCAAATTAGTTATCGGTCTGAGATTTTGTGTAAAACCGATACGTTTTGTTTTTTTAAATTGAATTTACTGGTACAGTGGTTCTTTGGTTTGGTTTAAAGACCAACAACGAGAAAAATGCATCAGATAGAAAATGGTTAGCACTCTAACCTGGGGTTGACTTGTAGAGCTGATCCAGAGATTGCATTCATAGAAAAGGCTGTGCCTGGAGATGATGCCATGAGCCTTAGAAATGAAACTTCCTGGAAAAGGTTAATCCAGGAGGTTTTCGAGGACATCGATGATTCATTCGTTACTTCAGTCCCTCAGTGTTTCTAAACAGATGCTTGTGGCAGAGAGGGCTCACTCAACACTTGGGCTTACGCCTGATCCTCAGAGAACTCTTACCACTCACACCAGCAGACATGATGCCAACGTCCTGATGGGCAGCATAAATCACCAGCAGCATCCTCCCTGGAGTTATTTAAGACACAGTGAGGACCTGCCGTGAATCACACCCAAGTTCCTGTCACGGCATGTGTGGCTGCTGTGGTACAAAGCCTGCTGCTGAAAATGATGGTAGATTGCGCTTCAAGTACATATGTGCAATTCATGCCAAGATTCGGGGGGAAAATATACCTAATAATTCTCGGAGCCTGAGGCTACCACTGAGAAGCAGCTTCAGTTCTGGAGCCAGAGTGTTGGATAGGATTGTGATGATGTCACTTTAATAGGTTCTCTTTCTGGACTCTGATTTTCTTCTGAGCACAGCTGGTATTAAAATACCCACATAAGCGTTGACTTCCGCCTTCAGGTAGTGAGGGCTTCATTCATCCATGTACCCCTGCATTCTTTCATTCACAGCCGGTTACTGAGCCTCTGTTGTGTGCTAAGCAGGAAGCAAGGTACCGGGGTAAAGTACAAAGTCTGTGCACTCCATCTTGGAGGAACTGGAAACTGGGAGTGGGGAGACCAGGCGTCAGCGACCTCAAGGGACTGCGCCTCGGGCCAGGATGCGAGTGTGGGGGCAACATCGGTGTGCAGTGGGGGACGTGGTGAACCTGTGTGTGCATGTGTGTAGGGCCAGGGAGGGCTGTCCTTTGAAAGCTGTCTGGGATGGACGTACCTGAGGGCTTCACTCTTTCACAATGCTTAGCAAAGATTGAATCTTCTCAGTAAAGCTTCAGAAGGCATTTATAATTGGGAAATTTCCCATCAGAAATTTCTAAAGCTTCCTTTTGAAAGGATGAGTCTTCACTTGGGAAGAGCAAGCCATTCTCGGTGCCTGAGAAGTAAGCCCTTATACAAACCTCCCCTTCCAGCTTTTGCTTAGGGAGATACCTCAAGGACAGTTGTCGCGAATGCTTTCTTTTTAGCTCAGATCCAGAAATGGGTCCTTGCCCTGTAAGGATCAGATATCGCTCTTCCCCAAGCTTAAAAACAAACAGAAAAATTTTACCGAGGAAAGCAGTTTTAGTTTTAGTAACATGTCAGAAAAGGGATTGCGTGAAGGTGGTCATCTTTGCCAGATTCTGAGTATGAACACAGGAACTTGAGCACCAAAAAAGAACATGGTATTGAAACCTGATTAACCAAAAGGGCCAGGTTTTTCTCTCCTGGGAGTGATGGAAGCTATAAGTAGCCTAACTGTGCTCCAGCTCTCTCATTTTCTAGATTTGCAGACATGAAAATCAGATCTACTTAGGTGAATCCTACCAGCAAAGCTGAAGACTTTCTGGGGTATAATTGAGGGCTTGGGCCAAGAAGCCCCACTTTGTACCTCGGGTATAGCTGTGTCGGCTATTTGTATGCAGAGTCCTTGGAGAGCAGGCAGAGCTGAGAAGAGCCGTCACTTAAAGTATCAGCCCTAGCAGGTGCCATCAGTTACACTGTGCACTGCTCAATAAAAATGGGAGGTTACTATATCAGCGCTGACATGGCTTGGTGAAATATAAACCGCAGGCTTGGAAGATATAGAGCATTTCATCTTCCAGAAAATAGGAGAATTGCTGAACTCCAGGGGAAATTGTCAGCACTGGGAGAAGCCCTCTCCCGTCCAAAGCTGTAAAAGAGTCAAACATGGTTAAGGTATTATGGTAGGGGTAACTTTTGATTTGTAGAGTTGGAACTGGTTGAAAAGCATTTCAGAATTTCAGGTGGCCACTGTAGGCTAGAGTAGAGATAGAAGGACCATTGTGATGGAAGGGGGTGAGGAGTGGGCTTGAAATACAGGGGAGGAGAGAGGACCGGCTGAGGGCTGTATGTGGGCAGTTCTGGGAGAGTGGGAGCCAGCAAAGTAGACTGGAGGCAGGTTCTGAAGGACGTAACATCCCCACCTACGCAGTTTGAATGTTGTCTTTTTGGCCATGGGGAGCCATGGGACGTTTCTCAGCAGAGGATTGACTTGATGAGGCCAGTATTTTAGGAGACGCGTATGATGATTCAACAGCTGTGCCGAGGAACCTCAGGCAGACCTGCTGAATAATGTCCCTCCTGCAGGATGCTTAGATAACTTCTCCGTGGGTGGTTCATTGTCTTCGGCTGTCATAAGTGGGCAGACTCACCATTCAGTTCCGTGGGTGACTTTGTAAATGCCCCTGAAGCTCCCGATTGCCACAGGTGTTGGTGTGAATAGTTGGGACACTCCCAGTATTCAGAAACAGTTACCTGTGATTGCTCTCTGTGCTTAGGATATTTACTGAACTTGGAACAACAGGGCTTCATGAGTGAGCACCTGTCATGTAATTGACTCCAAGGCAGTTAGAAGAAAAGGGCCTCACCTGGGGGTCTCCTTCCAGAAGAAGAAAATGTCTTTCACGTGTTATCTTTAAGCGCATCATTAATGCTTCTGTCAGTAGAGAATAATAGCCATCAACCTCAGGCTTTTCTTAAAAGAATTCTTCCTGAGATTTGGATAAAGTAGGATATCCTTTTTGATTGTAATGATTTAATGCCAGATTGCTTCACAGAGGGGACAGAGAGGAGTTCAGACGGAAGGGAGCAATTATTAACTCAGGTGGGAAATTTCCTTTGTGAAGCCCACAAAGACAGACACCCTGCAGGGAGAGCTGGACAGGCTGTGCCGTCTGAGGGGGTGATGGGCACATTCCAGTGGCTTCCAGTCGGTCAGGTACAGGCAGGACAAGTGGGGGCCTGGGGTCAGCCTCTGCAGGTGGCTGGCGGAGGCTAAGGGCTCGTAGGTGACTGCAGTTTGGGGTTGCCACTTGCCCTTTCTGCCCTTCCCTTAGCTTCCCCCTAGCAAACCTGGGAGCACGGTGGGCGTTGAACAGATGCAAGGTTAATGTTTGGAAAGTGGTGTCTGGTCCAGTAAGATGTTTCCCAAAAAAGACAGGCCCTAGCCGATTACATTTGGAACATGCATATACGCTGTTCACAGTCTGGATATTCAACGAAGCTCATCAACAGTTTAAGAGCTGTGAGAAATCTTTTAGGACTATTCAGAAAATTTTATCCACAGTTTTTCCTATTTGCTTATGACCACATGTTTTCATTTTTCACTCCCCACCTATCAGGCAGCAGAGAAAGTGGCTTATGGTATGGGATACACTTTGGTAAGTGTGGTGTGGGGTCTCGGAGTTTCTAATCAGATTCTTGGACTTCAGAATTCGACTCTGTTGTTCATTGGCGTGCAATTCTGGGCAAGTTTTGATTTCGCTAAGTCTGAGCCTTCCTATCTGAAAATGGCAGCAGTGGATTAAATGAGTTAGAATGTCTGGTGTTCTCTGTGTTGTAGCAAGTAATTGATCTTTTTAATTTCCTACTTTTCCAATTAATTGACTCTCCCCATTGCTCCCTCCACTTCCCTCTCAGGTTTCCATTTTTTATTCTTTTGTGAGGACTTTCCTGTGCTCATTTGGCCCATATCATATAAGGCCAGATCTCCCTCAGTGGGCAGAAGAGCTTGAAGCTCATACTTTGTTCATTCATTCATTCCTTTGTTATTCATTCCATAAAGTTACCAAATGCTCATTGTTTAAACTCACTGTGCTGGCTAATAGGGGCTACATTAAGGAAGCCCTGTCTGGGTCTCGTTTCCAGTGACTGGTCATCAGCCATCTAGCCAGAGTGAGTAAGTAATGTGGGGGTGATGAGGTGGGGCAGGATAAAGGAGGGGAGAGAAAGATAACTTACTGGGCTGCAATACTGTGAGACACATATATTAAGATCAAGAGAAAAGCTGTTACTCTGGGAATTCACAGATTGGAGGATGAACAGGAAGGAAAATCAGTCCTGATTTGTTATAACTTTGAAGTTGTAAAAGGAAAATTGGAACTCATCCACAATACCTTCATTAAAAAAATGTTTAAAAGAAAGGCTTTTGTTGCATTGGGATTTTGGAAAGGTGATTTATGTATATTACCGATAACTTCACTTTAGTATAAAATTCTTACTACTGGAAGATGTTCCCAAGTGACTGAGCAGAAATTAATCTAGGTTTCCCGGTAGCCCTGGCCTGCTTGGGAATGAACCACCCACCGATTTATTTGGGCCTGAAGTTGCACTTGATGAAACAAGTCATTTCAGGAGAAATGGCTGATGGAGAATTTATCGTGGACCTTTTTTGAGACAAGTAGGTCCCTTTAATGTGGAATAAATGAATGTTTGAGATAAAATGTAGAGCAATTGTTTTAAGGATCATGTTTTTCTTCTGGAGTGAATACTAATCATTCTCCCAGCGCAAGCTGGCTGTGACTAAATCTCAGATGATGCTGTGATCTTCAGAGCAGAATGTGAAGTTGTAGAAATTGATCTCCAGATAAAAATAAAGCTGAGAAAGTCAGGGGCCTCTTTCACTCATGCTGCTCACTTGAATGGAAGAAAAGAAGAACAGCCTTGCCCTTTGACTTCCA